CTCCCACCCCTCACCTGTCCTTTTACGAGGCTGGCAGCAAATTGCCTCATAACCGCCTCCACCGTGTAGGCGCTGGACCACCCGCGCGGGGTCAACAGCTCCATGCAGATGGCCCCGCCGTCCAGCACGTAGCCGTTCTCCAGCCGGGGCGTCAGGACCCGCATGAAGGGCGGTGAGAAGGGGAAATTGTCGGGGAAGGTGACGTTGAGCAGGATGAACTCGATGCTCGTCTCCTTCATGTCCTGCCACAAGGCCGAGTCCTTGTCCACCTGGTGCAGCTTGACGTTCCAGTCGTACAGGTTGTCCTCCACCAGCTCCACGGTGATGAAGTTGTCCCCTAACCTCCGGATCTCCTGCAGCTCCTTCATCAGCCGCCGCGTCCGCACCTGGGTGCAGTGTTGCCGGTGAGGCGCCAGCGGTGGGACGGAGGAGGCACTGGTGGCTTTACTCCCGCCCACTCCTCCACCTCCTCCTCCACCTCCTCCTCCGCCCCCACCACCACCACCTCCTCCACCTCCTCCCGCAGTCTGCTGCTTCTCCTTCGCATCCTTGCTCTGCTTCTCTCTGCCGGACGGCTTGTCCTTGCCGTGCTGGTCCAGCTTCCTCGCCTTGATCTCCGGGGTGCTCAGGAGGTTGGTCTCGTTGGTGGTCTGACAGTGTTTGTTGGCGTTGTTCTTCTGGTGCCCCTTGGTCCCCTTCAGCGAGCCCTGGTGGTGCTTCGGGTCCTCGGTGTCTCGGTCGTGCAGGCGGATCAGACCGATCTTCCGCAGTAGGGTGGCCATAATTTAAAAAATAAAAAAGAGACTTCTGCCCCTCCTCCTCCTCCTCCTCCCCGGCTCAGGAGGCGACGCTCACCCTTCCGAGTGGGCTCCCGTTCAAGGCTCGACCTCTCCGGGTGAACCTCGTGCCGCAATCCGCCTCCCTCCGCTCGCTGCAGCCGTCAGGACGAAACAGAACCGCGCGGATGGAGGTGGAGGCGGGGGGAGAGCCTGCGCGGCGTCTCCTCAGAGCATCGTCTCCGTGCGGTGCAGCTGCAAGCAAAGCGACACATGAACAACGGATCCACGAATACTTCAACAAAATCTTTGTCACAAGTCTCTCTCTCTCTCTCTCTCTCTCTCTCTCTCTCTCTCTCTC